CTCCCAAAAGTTTGTGGAAAACTTTCATTGTCTTTTCATTACATTTCCTATTAATGTACTGAAACCCACTCAATTTTCCCTGTGCATCTGATCCCGCAAGACTATGGAAAGGAGTTGAAATAATTAGAAGAATACATCCCCAATGAATATTTAGAATAAGGTGACCAGACATCCCGCTTTTGGAGGGACAGTCCCGATTTTTTTTTTTAATCAATTTATTGGGGCTCATACAATTCATCACAATACATAGATCAGTTGTGTAGAGCACATCTATACATTTGTTGCCCTCATCATTCCCGAAATTTGTTTGCCTCTTGGGTTCCCAGTTTTTGGCGTTTTAAAAAAGTCCCGATTTTTGGAAAGAATGCACAACAAGCTAGGGAACGATCTATTTGGTCCATATAGACCAAATTTTTAATCAGGAACACCCCACTCCCACCCCCGTCAATGGTGTCCTGCTTTAAATCTGGTCACCTTAATTTAGACTTTAAAGTGAAGGAGGCCAAAGGCAAAATCCTGAACAATGTCATTTAATGGTCAAAAGTAGAAATCTTAAAGGATATTGAAAGGAAAGGACAGAAGAGGAAAATACAGTGTCACTGAGTCTAACGGATAGGAAGATTATAATAACTGTTTTAGTGTTTCCGGAATCATTTATCACCATGGAGATACTAAAAAGCGTGCCATGAAGATAGTAAGTAAGTTGCAGTGGATTGAGTGATAGAAGATGAGAAAGTAGACAAAACTAATACAGACAACTTGTTCACAAAGATAGTCTCTGGAAGGAGCCAATAAAGACAGGTTTGTGGATGCTGGCGAGAGAAATGGAGTAAGTGAGGTTATAAGGCCCCTTGTGGAACAGGAAGGACTATTTATTCTTTAATGAGTATGTAGTACCTAATAGCTGGGCTTGGGAGCTCCAGTGGCATAGTGGTTTTGAGTTGGGCTGTAATCTGCAAGGTTTAATGTTTGAAACTACCAACTGCTCCTTGGGTGAAAGATGGGGCTTTTTATTCCCATAAATAGTTACTGCCTAGGATACTCACAGGGGTGGTTCTGCCATGCCCTACAGGGTCACGATGAGTCCTCGATGGCAGTGAGTTTGTTTTTGTTTTGTGGACTATGCTCAACACATTGTCCAGGGCTGGAAAGATGATAAGATAAACTCTCTGCCTCCATGGAGATTGTGTTCTAGTAGAGGTGGACAAGCACAACCAGCTACTATTTCAGCTAGGAATATGTTACTACGAAGAATTAAAGCTCATGTGATAGAGACTGATGAGGAGTGACACTACTCTGTCGGCGCAATCAGGAACAGCCTCTGACAAGGGGGCAGTGGCCTGCAAAACTCAAATGAAAATGATGCTATTTTCCAACTAGAAAATGCCCTACCACTTCTCCTGGCAGAACCCATGTCTTCCTTATAAATTTCCCTCAAATCTACCATAAATTCTTATTTCCAAACTCCCTTTTTTGTAAATTGCACACTTGCGTAATCTTCTGTGATACAATCGTTTCATTGGGTGTTTTTCTCCTCACAGTGTTAACTACTCTAGACTAAAGTCTACGCTGCCTGTTCTTTTGGTTTCTTGACAGCTCCTTCCATAGATATTGACTGTGGATCCAAGTAAAGTGAAATCCTTGATAACTTCAATCTTATTCTCTGTTTACCCCCTACTATTCCCAAATCACCTTCCTTTAATATTTTGGGGAGTGATATTTGATTAAAAAGGAATTCAATGTTTCAGGAACAAGTGACCTTCAAAGATGTGACTGTAGAATTCAGTGAGGAAGAATGGGGACAACTGGGCCCTGATGTAAAGAACCTGTACAGAGATGTGATGCTGGAGAACTACAGGAACCTCAGTTCATTGGGTCAAGGTGGCTTCTATGTACTTACCTCATGTACTCATTAGTAGTTTCTTCGCCTACTGTTAACAATTATCGGACTACAGAAGTAGTCATGTGCATTCGGGTTTGGGTCAGGGTTTCTAACTTCCTTTGGGCATGATATAAAATCTTCCTGTTTCATCTGGTTAACAGTCCTTTCTGATGTATAACCAGAAACAATGCAGATTCATGGTGTTCTCTTAGCTTTATCGTTCCACAGCTCTTAAGCCAACCATTTGGGATGGAATTCTTTTCCTGTGAGGTATCAACCCCCACAGTTGAACAGGTCCAAGGGGCAGTTGTGTAATTGGGGTTAAAATTAAAGAGACATTAGACAAAAATAAGGCATGGCCATGATCTCAGCAGCCAGGTCCATGAAGAGAGAGCAAATGGAATTCCAATCACAGCTTATATCCATTTTCAGGGATGTGCAAGCCCCCCTGAGTGCATCATAATGGGAAGGGGTTGTACAATCAGCATACATCAATTGGAGAGGGACAAGCGAGGGGTGCACACGCAATTGGAAGGGGCGGCACTAGGAGTACACATGTGACAAGATGAGCAGACCCTAGATTCAAGATGGCAGCCTAACCTTGGCGCTCCTTGAGTTGGCTTGACCTTGACTTTGGGCTCTCCTTCAGGGAAACAATCCACCATCCGTATCAGCAGGGAATGGGCCCTATTTAGGGTGGGACAGACTATAGAGTCTGATTGTTCCAGATGGCTGATGCCCTCGGGGAGATAACCTCTAAGCAGCTGACCTCTAAGTGTACAGTCACCCACCATGTGCTAGCAAGCAGCATCCTAGGCCCGACATAGGGGGACAACCTAGGGGAAAACACTTCTGCATCCCACATTGCCCAATTGACATTTTTTTCCTCCATAAATAGACTATCTACTTTCCAAACCAGTTGAGACTTCCGTATTGGAGAGTAAGAAAAAGCCACTGATCACAGAAGGAGAAATCTCAAGAAGGACTATTTCTGGTAAGAACCAAAATTGCAAATTACTAGTAGCCAAATTACTCATACTTCCAAATAGAAGTATGCCTTCCATTTTCCTCCTCCTAAAATAAGAGTGCTATATTGGGTGTATAGGAGCAAACTACGTTTTCCTTCAGTTCGTGTGTCTTCAAAGAGAGAAGAACACCACCTCAGGAGCCTTTTCCCAAACTGGATTCGGTAACAAGATTAGTCACTGCCAATCTAGGTACAAAATAACAAAACACTGCACGTGCCTGTGCCACCCTCACAAGTTTATGTTTGAGCCTATTGTTGCAACTACGGTGCCATTCCGTAATACTGAGCATCATCTTTTCCTCCAACACGGTATCAAGCATGATGTCCTCCTTCAAGGACTGGTCCCTCCCGATAACGTGTCGAAAGTCCCTTCCTTTTTAAAGAGCAGTAGGTGGACTTCGTTCAAGTCAAATTCATTCTTCCTACAGTCTCTGGTCTATTTAGTTTTCTTCCTCAACACTACCATTCAATCTTTCTTCAGTCTTCAAAGTGAAATCTTTGCTTTTAAAACTTTAAAAAGATCTTTTGCAGCAGGATTTGCACATCATTGAATTCTTGACTTTTACTCCCATGTACATTGATTGTGAATCTGAGTAAAAAGAGATCCATGATTTCAGTCTTTTCTCATGATGTTGCTTATTGATCTAGTTGTGAGGATATTTGTTTTCTTGATGTTGAGATGTATTCCATATTTAATATTTGTATTCCATATTTAATATTCCATTCTTAATATTTGATCATCATCTGTAAGGAATTCAAGTATTCTTCCCTTTCAGCAAGCAAGGTTGTGTCATCTACATATCGCAGGTGGTTAATGAATGTCCTCCAATCCTGTGTTCTTTCTCTATAGTGCACTATCTTCAATTATTTGTTTAGCTTCAAGTTGGTTAAGTATGGTGAAAAGATATGATCATGCCTTTCTGATTTTAAACCACAGGGTATCCCCTTGTTTTGTTCAGACAGTGGTGTGTGGGTGTGTGTATGATGTTCCACACTAACCAGTGAAGCATTCTGAAATTCCCAGTCTTGTAACAGTATGCATAGTTTGTGATCCACACAGCTGAATGGCTTTGCTTAGTCAGTAAAGCACAGGTGAACATCTTTCTTTATTCTCTGCTTTCAGCCCATCTTCATCTGATATTAGTGCTTGAAGATGGGCTCCTCACGTTAAAGGTACTCACAGTGAATATTACCTTCTCAATGAGAATCCTCTTTTCTCACATGGATGGAGCAATGTTTGGGAGGATTTTTATTTGCTGATGTAGCATGATTGAAAATCAGATGGAACAGCTGCAAACATCCACTCATAAAATGTGGAATGTGTAAAGTTTAAATCAAGGACAATTAGAAATTGTCAAAAATGAAATCGAACATACAAAGATCTGTGACATTAATTAATGGAAATGAGCTATTAGCCATTTTTAATTAGATGGTCATATCACGGGTTCCCAAAAGTTTGTGGGAAAAAAATCTTTTTATGATCCAATTCCAATTTTCCCCCAAACTTGAAGCCGCCTCTATGGTCTCTGATGTCAGGATGAGATTAGGTGCTAAATCACTACCAAGGCGTGGTGATCCGGGTACAAAATAACAAAACACAAAAAATCATAACACAAGATAACAAAGTGATGAGCAGTAGTATCTAAGTTAGCATCAAAAGGAGCATTTCCAAAGCTATCCTAACACAATCCTGTCATTGATAGGATGATATTGATATCCAATGGCAAGAAAGATCCGCTAATCCGCCTATTCAAAGTTGTGCACTAACTACGAAGTGCAAGTCGTCCTTGGGTGCCATGGAGCTGGTTTCTACCCGTGGCAACATCGTGCACTACAGGACGAACCGCTGCCACGGCCTGCACCATCCTCACAACGCTTCCTATGCCTGAGCCCCTGTGCAGGCCACGGTGTCAGTCTGCCGGTGGAGGCCCTTCCTCTTTTTCACTGCCCCTCCACGGCCAAGGCAGCTCCCTGCCAATGTACTGCTGCAACTGCTGTTAAATTGTCTTTAGCAAAATGTTGCTTGCATGTGATATTAATGATGTTGTTTGACAATGTCTGTTCTCTATTGGCCACCTTTCTTTGGAACAGTCACAAATAAGAATCCTTTCCAATTGGTTGGCCCAGTAACTTTCTTCCAAATTTCTTAGCATAGACAAGTGAGTGCTACCAATGCTTCATCAGCTTGTTGAAACATTTTCATGGCTATTCCATCAGCCTTATTTTGGTGTTAATGCCTTCAGTGCCACTATCTTCCTTCAGTACCACTGTTTCCTGATCACATGTATATCTTGAAATGGTTGCATGTGCACCAGTTCTTTTTGTTCCAGTAGTTCTGTGTGTTTCTTCCATCTTCTTTTGATGCCTCATGCATTGCTTAGTATTTTGCCTGTGGAATCCTTCAGTATTACAACTCCAGGCTTGAATTTTTCCTTCAGTTCTTTCAGCTTGAGATAATGCTGAACATGTTCTTTACTTTGGCTTTCTAAAAGCAGATATTTCCACGATAGGTTTTAGCATGTTAATCAAAGCTCTCCATACTTTGGTTTTATATTCTCTATCAAAATTTACCATCTATGGTTTCAAATAAACGTATCTCACTAGTTCTTAAATTGAATTGTGCATCTGAGTGATTTGGTTATTCTTTGACGTATATGCATGTGTGTTCTCCTAGGTTCACCAAGAGATTGATTTAGTAAGATAATTTCTAGCTTGGGCTTGTGTGTTGTTCAGACAAATGGTAGCTTCAGGAAATTGTACTGAACCAGGCTTAATTGATATATTCTTGGCAAAGTTAGAGTTATCATTAGAGATACTTTTAGGTGAAAGTAATTTTATTAAATAATTGTGTTTAAGCACAGATTACAGATGAGAAATGCAGGATAATGATTATTCAAGCTTTTCCTTAAAACCTAGTGTAACCCTGTTGCTATATTGGTTATGCATGGGCTGCTAACCACAAGGTCAGCAGTTGGAACCTACCAGTGGCTCCATGGGAGAAAAATGAGGCTTCCTGCTCCCATACAGAGAGTTACAGTCTCAGAAACCCACAGGGACAGTTCTCTTTCCTATAGTTGACATTGTCTCGATGGCAGTGAGAGAGAGAGAAAAATGAGTAAGTATAAATATTATTAAAACAGTCACTCATTGGACCAAACTGGACATTGAAAGGAATTCCATATAAAAAGGGATAACCTGAATTTCTTATTTATATAAGTTGGCGGAGAGTCAAATGGTCAAGTGAAGATGTTCAATAAAGAGTAGAGGAAAAAAATCACCTGAGGTTATGTGGAAAAAGAGAAAGCTAGTAAACTTTAATTTCTAAAAATTGCTAGAGCGACAAAGTAGACTAACAAAACCAAGAAAGTGAAGGCAAAGTGAAAGAGAACCTAGTTTCAATCAGCGCAGATAAAGTTTTAGGTCCTAGGAAACACAGTAGAAACATATCATAGCATGTATGTTAAAATAGCCCAGAGCAAAAATTATTTCTATGCTATCTTATTTTGCAGTTCTTTCTCCTTGTAATGAATAGGAATTCATTGCAGTTGGATAAAGAACAGGGACACAATGATTACAAATTATCTTTAACCTGGTTAAGTTGGGGTGCCTAAAAATACAGACATGTTCTAAAGTTGTGATTAAATTGATATTTTAGGAGAGGCTTCTGTTGGTGAACAATTTGGGTTCAAAGAGAAAGGAAGATTAAGGAGAATCTTTACAGACTGGTCATGAACTTGAACTGTGATATGCCACCCTCTCCCAGTTCACAATTCACCAAAGCCTTTTGTTCTCTTTTCAGTGTTTCTGAAAACACTTTTCCTATTTTATTATCTCCCAACTCTCCTTACAGCATTTTTGTCTCCTTTAGCTTTTCTATAAGTTGCCTCACCTTTTCATTCTGTATATGAAACTGATAAAGCCTGCACAGACCCTGACATAGTTTAACCTTTCTTTCTAGATACAGAGACTGTTTCCGAAAGCCAAACTCCAGTTCCCGAGCAGAGGATTTCTGGAGGAGAACAATCATCCCATGAAGTGATTGTGCCAAATAGACTTTCTTCTGTAGATGCCTGGAAAGAGGATGGTTGGGTATATGGAAATCAGGAAAATCAGGACATGCATTTGCCACAAGAAACTTACATTCCTAAAATAATCCCCACGGAGGAGCAAGATTTTACATGTACTAAATATGAGGAAAGCATTAATCTTAAGTCAGTTAACTCAATTAATAATGTACAACAGAGAATTCCTAAGAGAAAGGGATCCCCAAAGTGTGACAAACTTAAAATCAACTTCAAATTTAATGTATACTCAGTGGGTAAGCAACCTTCAGAATTTAATAAATATGGGAAACCCTTGAACCAGAGTACAGATACTATTCAGCACCAAAAAACTGAGACCACAAAGAAGTCGTATGAGTGTTTTCAGTGTGGAAAAGCCTTCAGTCGGAGTTCATCTCTTATTCGACATCAGATCACTCACACAGGAGAAAAACCATATAAATGCCATGAATGTGGGAGATTCTTCAATCGACGGACAAACCTTACGAAGCATCAGAAGATTCACACTGAAATACAGCTCTCTGAAGGAAATAGACATGGAGACACCTCCCGTAAGAATGAAGACTGTGATCAAAACCCGACACTCCATTCTCGAGGCAATCCCTTTGAATGTGCTGACTGTGGCAAATCCTTCACCCGGAACTCCTCGCTGACTCGACATAAAATGATTCACACGGGAGAAAAGCCGTTCAAGTGTGAGGAATGTGAGAAAACCTTCAACAGGACCTCAAACCTTACTAAACACCAACAGCTTCATATTTGTGAGAAATACTATGAAAAGGAGAAACGCAAAATTGCTGATAGTTGGAGAGTAAAGCTCATTCAACCTCCATGATTTCATTATTGTTGGTGAACAACTTGGGTTTAAAAGAGAAAGGAAGATTAAGTAGAATCTTTACAAACTAGTCATGAACTTGAACTATGATGTGCCATGAGAGGGAACCCCATGGATATAGCCAATGTAAGAAAAAGATTGCCAGATAAAATTCTTTAGTTAAGATGATAATTAAAATTGGAGAGAAGTTTCTTATGGGTTGGAAATCTGTTTAAAGAACCTGCTATACCACACTCCCAAGCGAAGCTCCGAGGGTCTTCACTTAACACACAAACCATACAGATCTTTGTTATTATTTTTATACCCATTGCCCACGTTTTTCCGTAATTGATACATGGTATCTATACTTATATAGTGGTTATTAAAGGGTCCAGCAGTAATGCTATGGTTCTCAGCCATAACCAGCGTATCTAACCCCATCTCATGCCCACTAAGCATAACGTGACACCTCCCCTTCTCAAGACATCTCAGAAATCTGGCCCCTGGTGCTGCAGCCGAGGGGGTGGTGGCGAGCACGGGCTCCTTTTAGACATCATTTATTTCTGTCCCCAAAGTTATTAACACAGAATTCCTTTGTTTGCGTTCTCTCTGACTTTCTTCACCTTCTCCTTCACACATCCATCCCTCGCTCTTCCTCTCTCCAGCTCTCCTTTCTTGTTTTTGGTTATTCTCTCTTTACTCTATCTTCCAGTCTCCCTTCACCCTGTCCCCTTTACTCTCATTCCAGTCTGATCACCCAGGCAGGTCGTTAACGCTAATAAAACCTGTACATTAAAAACCACGCTCTGGAGGACCTAATGTCGGGGGTTTAAATGGAGAGAAAATGTTTTGAGAAACGATGTACAAATGCGCTTTACACAATTGATGTGTGTGTGGATTGGGATAACAGTTGTATGAGCCCCTAATAAAATGTTAAAAAAGATAAATAAATAAATAAATAAATAAATAAATAACCATGCTCTGAGTCCACTTTCCTTTATTACTGTTCTAAGTTATGTGTTGGGTTTAATCCACACAGTCGGCAGTTTGAAACTACCAGCAACTCCTCAGGAGAAAGACTTTCTACTCCCATAAACAGTCTTCGAAACCCATGAAGGGGTCACTATGAGTCAACAGTCACTCGATAGCAGTGAATTTTTTTTAATTTTTAATCATTTTATTGGGGGGCGCTTGCAGCATTTATAGCAATCCATACATTAATTGTATCAAGCACATTTGTACATATGTTGCCATTTCCCAAACATTTTCTTTCTATTTGAGCCATTGGTATCAGCATCTCTTTTTCCACTCTCTCCCCACCCTCCCACTCTCGTGAACCCTTGATAATTTATAATTTTGTTTTCATATTTTACACCATTCACTGTCCTCCTGGGGGATGGGGGGTTGTGCATCAATCATTGTGATCAGTTCCCCCTTTTCCCCCAAACCTCATGGTATCGCTACTCTCATTATTGGTCCTAAGGGGTTTATCTTTCCTGGATTTTGTGTGTTGAGCGCTCTTATCTGTACCAGTGTGCATGGTCTAATCTAGCCAGATTTGTAAGAGAACTGGGATCGTAATGGGGGGTGGTGGTGGTAGAGGAGCATTAAAGAATAGAGGAATGTTGTGTGTTCCCTCGGTGCTGTACTGCACCCTGACTGCCTCATACTTTATGTCCCTTCTGTCCAGTTGTCTACAGAGGGGCTTTGGGTCTCCATTCCAGCCCCCGTCGTTCGCATCAAAATGGTTGGTTGGGGTCTTCTGATACCTGATTCTGTAGACACCTCGTGATCACATGGGTTGGTATGCTTCTTCCCTGTGGGCTTCGTTGCTTCCCTGCTAGATGGCCGCTTATTTTATCTTTAAGCCTTTAAGACCCCAGATGTTATATCTTGTAATAGCCAGCACCATCAGCTTTCTTCACTACATGAATTTATGCTCCCATTTTGTTTTCAGTGATTGTGACAAAAAGGTGAGCATCACAGAATGCCGGGTTATTAGAACAAAGTATTCCTGCATTGAGGGAGGACTTGAGTAGAGGCCCAATGTATGTCTACTACCTTAATACTTATAAATACATGGACATAGACCTATATCCCTATTGTATATATATTAATATATTTACATATGTACAAGCCTGTTTATACCTCTATAAATGTCTTGCCTCCTAGTGCTTTCCTCTATTTCCTTTTACTTTCCTCCTGTACCACTATCATGTTCGACCTTAATTCAGCTCTCTGTATTTCCTCTCAGCTACATTGCAAACCCTACTATGCCCTCCTCACCATCAATCTTAGATCTCTTGTTGTTCTCTTGTCCCTGGGTTTGTTGGCTCCCCACTCCCTTTCCCCCACCATCTCTACCCTGTCGTCCTTCTTGGGGTTGTTTATCCTGCCTATCTTATATAGATAGACATGAAAACAAAGAAATGAAAAATGCCTATGAATATTTCAGTTCTGTCTACTGACACAAATGTTTTCTGATCAGGTCTGATGCAGTGCCAAGACCTACCTCCTGAGTCCTAAGTCTGTTTTCAGAATTCCTCCGGGACTTTGTTGCTTTGCTCCCCTTGCTGTTCTGTTACACCCTGGTTGTGTGTGTGTACACGGGGCTGAGGGGTGGGGGTGTAAGGGGTATCAGACTGGGCACAATTCCCACACTGTGTCTCGGGTGCTGCCCCGTAGCACTGTGGGTCAGTAAGGGACGCCGTGTCTTGTGATGAGGCCGACCCTATGATCCTCTGTTTTGGCTGCTTGGAGCAGAAATGTCATCCTGGAAGCATGGTGGGCCAGGATGCTGTCCACTCTTTCCCTCTTAATTTGCACCCTGGTGGAGACCTGCCACTCTCCCCGGGCTGTATCTGCAGGGCTGTCCTCTGTAATGCATTCTTCTGGGGAGGGGTCAACATAGCTGGTGTTGGGGCCGGCCCCACAGACCTTGAGACTAGATCAAGAATACTAGAAATCAAGCTGTAGGGAGATCTGAGGGCTAGATTATAAAAGATCTTATATGTCTCCATAGATGTTTGGATTTTATCTTGAAGTTAATGGCAAAAGATAGAGTTGTTTATGCAACAATTGGGGCTCTGCAAGTGCTAATTGAAATATGAGAAGCAAAGAAAATAAATGAAATTTGAAAAGGAAAAAAATAATTTTCCACTAGTATGGTTATCTATCAGAATAAGCTAATAAAATCAATTGGAAAACTTTAATCATTTCAAATACATTACATATACCTCACTTTCCTAAAAAGTATCTGGAATAAATGGGAAGATAGACTTCTGAATGGGGGAAATATTATAAGTATGTTGGTTCTCCCCACATGAGCTATAAAACATTTTTGAAAATTTTAGTCAAGTATTCAGTCAGCAAACTTTTTTTCAGTATGATTTATAAAGTTTATAAGAACATGTTAAAGTAATGTACACATTGTTTTAAAAAGTATTAAAATGGTAATCTGGCTATCCTAGTAATGTAGCTTAATATTTGTTATCCCTGGGACAGAATTTATTTTAAATAGACTTCACTATTTATAAGAATTTAGCATTTCATAACTTGTCACTTCAAGTCCATGAGAAATAGAACAGCTAATCCACTACATATTTATTATATGTACTTTTAAAAAGAATGGTCAGAGTTTAGGGAATCCGTAATAAGTCATACTGTATGTCACAGAGCTACTAATAGATGAACATTTTTTTCTTAGTCCTGAAAAAGCATGAGGAAGAAAGGAATCATTACCAAAAACTAGAAGAGAGAAATCATGTGGGGAGGACACTTTAAGACCTTTTTTATCTTAGATGCAGGAAATCAATCATTCTAAACCTACTCTCCTGTTGCTCCACAATCCCCACCTTACCCCAATCCCCAGGTGGGTAAGCCTAGCCAAAGTCAGAGACAAGGGATCCCATTGATGTAATCCATTCACATCAGCCTCGAAGAATGGATTCAGAAAGGCAGATGGAAAATAACCGTATTAGGGTCACTGGGTGGAGATGAGCCAGTCAGGGTGCAGTGGTTTAGCAACGATGAAACATTCAGCTTTCCTCTAGTTC